CCTTCTCTGCGCGGCCCCAATAGCATACCGCTCGCCTTCTCTGCGCGGCCCCAATAGCATACCGCTCGCCTTCTCTGCGCGGCCCCAATAGCATACCGCTCGCCTTCTCTGCGCGGCCCCAATAGCATACCGCTCGCCTTCTCTGCGCGGCCCCAATAGCATACCGCTCGCCTTCTCTGCGCGGCCCCAATAGCATGCCGCTCGCCTTCTCTGCGCGGCCCCCCAACTGTCCCCACGGCTCACCCTATGACATGAGCCCAGCTAGGCACAATTTTGCCACATGTATTCATTCCTCGCTGATGAATGCACAGCGTGGACCGCAAATTCCTTATCTCATCTCCGAGAACACACTGCTCGTCGTCGTTTGCAATCCTGGCCACCCTTCAAAGGACTTTATTAAGCAAATTAGGAAAGAGGGGGGAAAAAAAAAAGAGGAGTTTTCATGAGCGTCTTGAGAAATACTTCCGAAAACAAACCGAGCCCTTCAGACTCCGTGACTCCTCTCCATCCAGAGAGACTCCCAATGTATTTATTTTTTTGCCTGAAGTTGTCTTTACACTGGATCAGCATGAAGGAAAACATTCTAGCAGCAAAGACAAAGACAGGTGTTGCTTTGATGCTCTGTCAGTTGATATTAGGCCGTGTTTGTAGGGAGGGGAGCGCTTGTTGTCACCGGATCAAGGATACTGGACACTAATTAACTTTCTGCATTCACAAGGCCTGCCAGTGAGGTCACAATTAGCAGTCTATTATGTAACACCTAATCCAAAGAATATGAGACCGCCGTCTAAATAAGTAATAGGCGAAAAGAATGATAGGGCCTCAGGTCAACAATTTATCAAAATCTGGAGAAGTTGCCCATGGCAACCAATCAGCTTCTCTCTTCAGTTTGTTCAATTAAAATTTGAAAATGAAAGAGAGAAGCTGATTGGTTGCCATGCACAGCTGCTCCAGATTTTGTCTGCTCCAGTTTTGATAATTACATTTGGTGACAAGGGAGCATGGAGCCAGCTTCCCGGCCAATCAGGAAGCCGGACAGTGAGACATTACCCGCCCCCCGACTTTCTGATTGGCCAGAAAGCCGGCTTCATGCTCCCTTGTCACCTGGTGATGGGGGAGCATGGAGCCGGCTTCACAGCCAATCAGGAAGCTGGGCGCCGTGTGATAACTCATTGCCAGGCTTCCTGATTGGCCAGCTTCTCGAGCCTTTAGGAAGCCGTGCAATGAGTCATTACTTGGCGCCCAGCTTCCTGATTGGCCAGAAAGCCAGCTCCATGCTTCCTCGTCACTGGCTGACGAGGGAGCATGGAGACGGCTTCCCTGCTTATCGGGAAGCCGGGTGGCGAATCTTTACACACCGCCCGGTTTCCCGGCTAATCAGGAAGCCAGATGGCGAGTCATTACACACCGCCTGGCTTTCCTAATGGGACTTCTGGTATCAGTAGCGGCGAGTACCAAATAAAACAATATCGGTACTCGTGCTTGATACCGAAAAACCGGTATCGGTGCATCCCTAGTATCTATATAAGCATAGGGAAAACAATTTTCCTTCCATTCATAGGGCGCAGTGGTTGGAGTTTCACTTTGAAGCGGCTCCATCTCATCTCCTAAGAGGAAATAAATTGTGCAGCTACAGTAAGAAGTGACGCAGAAAGAGCGCGGCAAACACTGAGGCCATTTTATTCCCCTCCGCCGCTTCTAAAAGCCAAGGATTGTCCCTTTTATCAGGCCCGGCATCTCATGTGTGGCTCAGACGCAGCTCACCGAGGAAGCCGTGCCAACAAAGGACAATTTCAACCCAGGAAAAGCACAGGCCAAGGAAAGCAAGCGGGCGGAGGAAGCGGGGAGCGCAAACTGGAGGTAAAAAAAAAAAAAGGACCTTTTCAGGCCGGGTTCCTTGTTGTCGGAGGATGAGTAATTAGCAAAGTCAATATGGCAAAGTGGAAAAAAAAAAAAAAGATGAGAGCCAAGTGGCTGACTTCAAAGGCGTTTTCGGACATTCTAAGCAGTCTCCTGCGTCGTTAGCACAGGGCCCGCGTTGTGCCGACGGAGGCATCGTTTTGGATCATTATCCAAGGCAGTTAGAAAACAACTTGCGAGGGAGAGAGCACATGTTCAGTCGTTAAAAAGTTGTTTTTTCCACTTAGGAAAGGTTACCTGCTGCTGTAGACAAGTCTGCACACCGAGCTTTAATGGCAGGCTTGTGGCTCTGACTGCACCCAGAGCTGGCGGGTCACTAGCAAAAAGAAGATCCTAATTGCCGCACTAAAAGCTCTTTCCACACATTCTCACTCTTAATTGCCTTGCCGTCTTCCGCTCAGGAGCATCTCTCGCAGCCTTCAATTCCTCTAATACGACTAGAAGATTGGTGCACGGAGCAGAAGCATTATAAGCGTGCATTGCAGGAAGAAGTAGGAACGCAGAAGAGGTTATTAGGGGCTCATTCAAATGGGAGCAAAGGGCAGTAAACCATAAAAAAAAAAATCAGCCATGTTTCTGCGCCCCGGAGCCGCAGGTGCTGCATGCAGCCGTCTGTATAGATCAATGTACGCTGGTCAACACAGATACGGTACAGCTGCAGGAAACCAGCCATTATTAATGGTGTATAGCCCTCTGTGCCTGTGTCAATGAGCCCTTCGTACCCCATTCACACAGACTTAAGGCCGTGACACACTGCACGCGCAGCCGTGCAGAGCGAAGCAAATCTATCCGGCACGGAGCTTCGCGTGCAGTGTGTGAGCTGAGTGCAGTCAGATGATTGACTGCACCTTCAGCCAATCGGCTTGTCTGTAACAACCGGCCAGATGTCGCATCCCGTCGCGCCGGTTTATACGCGCGAGCTGATTGGCTGAAGTTGAAATTGTTCATCTCGGCACGCTCAGCTCTGCGAGCTCCCGCAAGCTGAGGTGCCGAGAAGAAAGTGACATGACACACTGCTCGCAAAGGCAGCGCGCCACCGCTCCGCGCTGCTTCGTGTGCAATGTGTCACGGCCTTTAAAGGAGAACTATGAGGTGAATGAAAAATCACTCATCCTCATAGTTCGAGCCGAAATGAAACTCACAAGTTGGCTCAATAGATCGGGATGTGAGCGAACACATACCGTCGCTTGCTCACTTCTCGATCATCTCCCTGCAGAGAGCCGTGACTGTCAGTCACCACTCCCCTCAGGGATTTCCCCCTCCCCTAGCGTTGACTGGAGGAATGGACGGGGGAGGGGGTGGGTACAGCTGGTTCTGCCTCTAGATAGGCAGAGCCAGCTGTCACTCCTGCAGCTGGGTGGATCCGTCCCGGCTGCGGCAGTCTCAGTATATAGCGAGCTGTAGCTTGCGATATACTGAGCTTTGGGTCACGGGAGGACGTTAGTATTTGTCCTCCCATGACCCTAAAGAGAACTGTGGGGAAAAACACTTACCCCAGAGTTCTCTTTTAAGTCTCTTTCACATGGGGTGATTTGGGGTTTCTGCGGTAGGAATGTCGGGTGTCCCCATCCAGATGTGGCCACTGTGCCCGTTCATGAGGTTCGGGATAGATGATTGCCCCTGGATGTGGAACAGATGTGTCCAGCGACAATCATCTATCCCAAACTGCATGTAATTGTACTATGTAGGCCACATCTGAACGGGGACACCCGGCATTCCTGCCGCAAGAATCCAATTACAATTATTTATATAGCGCAAAACATATTCCGCAGAGCTGTACAATCATCCAGACAAATAAGAAACACTGACAAGCATCACTGGCATACAGAAACAGTAGGTGGGGAGGACCCAGCCCAAACGAGCTTATAATAGGTTCTTGCCGCAGGGTCCCATGTGAATGGGACCTCAAGCTGGTCATACACCGTTCGATTGTTTTCATTCAACCTGCAGGCTAATTTATTTATTTAGGGCTCATTCACATGGGTGTAGAGGGCTGTACAACCATAACAAAACTGCCACATTTCTCTTCCATGCAGCCACCTGCACAAATCAATGACAGGATGCAGCTGTACACTGGTCAACACTCATCCAAGCGTGTATATATATACACACACTATATTGCCAGAAGTATTGGGACGCCGGCCTTTACACGCACATGAACTTTAATGGCATCCCAGTCTTAGTCTGTAGGGTTCAGTATTGAGTTGGCTCCGCCCTTTGCCCCTATAACAGCTTCAACTCTTCTGGGAAGGCGTCCACAAGGTTTAGGAGTGTGTCTATGGGAATGTTGGACCATTCTTCCAGAAGCGCAGTTAGAACTTCTATATACTTAAAATAGAAATACATATTTATTTTTAGTTTTTAACCATATAAATACCCTTTAAAGTTGATGGCTTTTCCCTAATGTGTTATGAATGCTGCAACTCAGCTGACACATTGGACACACATCTCAGCTGACATGCTGAGATTTCCTCCCATTGCTCCCTACTCTAAAAGGTGCCCATACACCTTACGACCATCGCAAGACCTTTGTCTTGCGATGGTCGTAAGCTCATTGAAAGCTCGTACGATCTGCCCATCTTGGACGGGCAGATCGTACTTGCGATCATCGAAAGCCTGCCCCGCTGAGGGGTGGGCTTCCGATGACCGCAGTGAGGGGCGGGCTTCCGATCACTGCAAGCCCTGCACTGAACCACTTCACTTTAAGCCTGATGAAGGGGACCCTGTGCGGCCCCGAAAGCGCTTGATTCCTTTCGAGTGAATAAAATGAAGATTCACTAAAATCTTTTGTTATTTTGTCGTTTCTGGAGTCCTGGTGACATCCATATCCAACGTACAGTAGAAACGGTCGCACGCCTTCCATACACTGTACGATTCTCGTACGATCGTACGAGAATCGTACAGTGTATGGGCACCTTTAGAGATTGCTGAGTGTAAGCTCCTCTGCGCGGGGACTCCTGTCACTGGTTGTGTGTCCTCTATAAGGGGCAGCATAATATGTCGGCACTACATAAATACAGGTAAAGACGTACATCAGATGACTGCTATAGCATATCTAAAAAAAAAACAAGAGCCGAGCAAAACATGAACTAGTTTAATAATGCGCAAGCAACCTTCTGTACACTCACCACCTTCAGCACAGCTGAAGCAGTACATTTATGGGATATATATCACATTTGTATGGACCGATTGGCAGAAGACTGGCGAAGCCTCTTCATCCATCGACACCTCCCAGTGGCTGGTTTCTAGGCGTCTTGAGTGCTTCATTTCGGAGAGAAATCCTCATAATAAGACCAAAAGGAACTTCACTTATTTCTTTCCTGTAGGAAACACAAGTGACGGGCCGTGAACACATGCACATTGCAGCCAACCCCACTGCTACTATGCTGAACACCTGCGGCTCGGATGGAAGCAAAGCTTGTGGAGAGACCCCTCTTCTCCTTTTATTACCTGACAGCTTCAGCCATTTCGGGACTTTGCTGGCATCTCTTTGAACTTGCTGATTGGAGTCAGAAATCCCGAGCTCCTCTTCGTAGTTCTCTGGTGCTCGCCGAGATACCTGCGAGCTGGGTCCCGGGAGGTCTTCCATGACGGGGGCAGTATAGGATCCTGAAACACGTGGCATTGCTCTGTTTATGTACAAAAGGTATCAGTCAGTATATGTGGAAACCAATGTCTGGTTTATAGCTATGTGTATCTACCCAGCTGGGTGGAATAGTCAGGTCCATGCATATGGACCAAACTTCTGCCCTCCAGCTGTGGTGAAACTACACATCCCATGAGGCATTGCAAGACTCTGACAGCCACAGGCATGACACCCAGAGGCAGATGCATGATGGGATTTGTATTTCCACCACAGCTGGAGGTCCGGAGTTAGGCTGCCCCTGGCCTATACTTTCCCATGTGTAGGGCCAGCATTACAATGACTATATACTTTAAGTGACCCCATCAGGTTTAAACAACATTGAGAATAAATGTCTCCAATAGAAGAGCGTTTATACTCATCTCTTTGGCGGCTCTTGTCGTCCTCCATTTCAGTGCTTCTGTTAGACTCTTCTGTATTCAACATATCCAGAACATCTTTACAGGACTCAGCATTGACATAAGGGTCAGCTTATAGGACACAGGTGAAACTCGTGGTGTGTTGATGCGCTATAACACCATGGCTCCGTTATTTGGCCCTATGTCCCTGTTGTGTCCTGTAGTAATCCTGTAGTAATGCAGGAGGTCAGAGGAGGGAACCACAACATGGGGGACACAGGCATCAGAAACTCCCAGAGGTGTCCAATGCAGAAGAATCTGACTGAGGCTTCAGGGTTGGAACGGAGGGAAGACAGGAGACAACGGCTTATTTTAGGTCCTGAAAAGAAGTGGAATAAAAGCGCAGACCAATTAGGATGTTAAAGGGTCTATAGAGGTCAGTGGCTCTCAACCTTTCTAGGGTCGGGACCCCTTGGTATCATTTGCCAAGTTGTGGTGACCCCCAACCATAACATTTAGGGATGCACCAATACTAGTATCTGTGTGGGCTCTGCGGCTCTCAGGTGGCCAGTGGGACTCTCTGGTGGCGTCCAGTGCATGCTCTGTGGTGCCCAGTGCGGGCTCTGTGGTTATCAAGCACTCACCTCCCCTCACTACTGCCTGCTCCCCTCTCTCTGATCCTCTCCGGCCCCTGCTGCTGCAGCGCCATGTAGGAGAACTGACACGACTGCGCTAGGAGAAGGCTGAGGAGCCTCTTACCTAGAGCAGCACAAGGCACATGGGGACCCCCTCAACTGTGGGTTGCGACCCACTGATATAGGTGATCCCACTACTGGACAGGCAGCTTCTACATCCCGGAGGATCTCCACTGCGAACTCTCCTTTCTAGTGAACTCTGTTTAATAGTCTAGAGGCATCTTTCATTGATATAAGGTTAAAGGGACAGTATAGAAACAGCCAACGTGTTTCAGGGCTCATACAAATCAGGGCTTGCTCGGGGAGAACATGTATCAGGACTGTGATGGCTTGAAATCGAATACCGTTTTGTCTAGTGTGTGAGATTACACAGGGCTCTGTGTAAACCCAGCACCCAAGTAAACCCTTATTTTATATCCTTATTTAAAACCCAAATTAGGATTGGGATGGATGTTTTCTGAGTGACACGGAAGTGGTTGTCGTATATGTTTCCCCTATTTTCCATCATGTGGTCACCGGACGCTAGGAAATCATTACCGTTGAAAAAAGACTAAAAGCTGCCGGGTGTGTGGCCAGACAAAGGTGAGAGTTGGCCTGCCATCCCTTCTGTCTGTATTTAGCTAAAGAGCATTATGTCATTAAGTGCTTCTGTACCTGGCGACCACCATATCCGCCTGAGAAGGAGACATCGGGGCTGTCAGTAGATGAAGCTGCAGGTAATGATCTGTAAAGTGGAAACACATCTAATTCAATAAACATTCCCTTCAATGCAATGTCTAGTGTTCTTTTTAAAGCGGCCCTTTACCCCTATTGACTACAAATCACATCAGCATACAGCTCTGCGTGCCGACATAAAATCTTCCTACATTCATTAGTTAAACAGACATATTTTTCTGTTACTTACAATTTCTTTTTTCTTCTACTTCCTGGTCCTCTTGGGGATTAGTGAGGTAATCGTGCCCAAGCGTTGCATCCTGGGAAGGTTACATTAGCAGAGCATTGCTTGGAAACCTCATCTGAAATGTCACGAGATCTCAGGGAAAGGCATTTTCCTCCCCTGAGATGATGTGCATGGTCACATGTCCTAGTCACATGTGCCAGAGTTCCAGGAAGTAGAGAGAGATCTAGTAATCTGCCCTTAGTTAAAATGGCCGCTGTCAAAAGACAGGGGAAGAAAAGAAAAGCAAGGTATGCAAAGAATACAAAGCCGGCAATTATTTAAAAGTATGTGTTTGTAGTTTGTCATTACTAAACATTTCTAAAGGATATGCCTCAGGTTCCTCTTTAATGATGTTCTGGATATGCTTGTACTATCAATCGGCCAATGGAGTGAAAACAATGCCCTCCCTGTGCGGCCAGAATCTTTTCACAAGCAATCAGGCAGAGCTACCATAGTGGTCAATCTACAATAGGGCTTCAGCTAACGATTATTTTCATAATCAATTAGTTACCCGATTATTTTTTCACCTAATCGATTGGTTGTATAAAAAATCTCGATCTCTCTCGATGAGAATAGTTGCAACTATTCTCATCATCGACTATTATCAATTTAGTCGATTAGTTGTTGCAGCTCTAATCTAAAAAAACTCAAAATTGTAATAGAATCAATAAAGGAATATAGCATATATATAAATTAAAAACTTCAAAGTCACATGACCAAAGTGAAATCCCATCTCAAGCCAAAACATTTTTGACACCTAGGGAAGGCTAATAACCGATGTTTCACCGTTCTCTGTACGCCTGTTGTAGAGACTGTGCTCACTTCCTGTCTCAGGGACCACACAGGAAGTAAAAGGAAATATCCCTAATGCTTATACAGAAAGCAGTCAGTGTAAATAAGTGGTGATAAGGATTGTCAGAGTGCTGCAGTCCAGAGGGGGAGAACTTGGGCAGGGCTGACCCCACTGCTTAAGATTTGTAGTGCAGCAGAGACAGTGTTGTCAGCTCACGACAGGAAGTTTTGGATTTCTGGAACAGGCATTTTCCTGTACTTGCAGCATTTATAAAAAGGAATAAAACACGGGGAATCTGCATGTAGAGCAAAGACAAGCCGTGTGCGCCACTCCTGTCTACCAGGTGACAGAGGTCCGTCTATGGCCAGCCTGTGTGTGCTACAAAAAATTAAAAGTAGAACATTTCTTGTTTTGTTTTTTTTAATTGTGAATCACGTTATTTAGTGGGAACATATTTCAAAAAGAAAAATGTATCATTAGGTCTCATTTCTTTTCCGACATTAAAAATAAACAAAAACAAACAATCATCTATTTCAGCCCTTGTGGTCCTCAAACACTAAGAGATGTTCAAAGCTTAGACTTGCGGTTGATTCTGCAATGGATTTGTGTGTTCGAGGCCGCCGTCTTAATAAATAAGAGCTCGCGTCTGTCTGCCCGCTGTCGCAGCGGAGTTTTTGTAGTTGGTCACAAGTGATTTTACATAAACAATCCTAGACAGTAATTAACTTGCTGGCGTGTCTCACAGAAGACGTTTAATCTGCTGCTACAGAACCCCAGTGTGGTCCCCAAGCACATGGCGAACACATGTAGCGGCTCCACATGACAAACACACTTTGAAGCGTCTGTGTGAATAAGCCCCGAGACACCTTGGTGTCTCGCCTAAAAGTGCCCTCTGTGTTCCAGTAGGGAACTTTTGCTTAATGCTTTGACACGGAGCTGTATTTATCATAAGGCAGTAGAAGCTTGTACACTGAGTGGCAAGATTATTATGACCACCTGACGTTTGTAGGCAAATTAGCTATAATTAGCTATAATTTCGCGCTGAAGTTGCTAGAGGGCCAGACCATTATAAATAGGGAAGCAGGTTTTTTACCACGACAGTAGAAATGATTTGTTTCTGAAGATACGGGGAAACAACGCGATTTAACAGCCTTTGAACGTGGGATGATTGTTGGCGCTTGGAGCCATGGAGCGAGTATCAGCAAAACAGCAGAATTCGTTAAATGTTCAAGAGGGACTCATTGTTAAAGTGTTTAAAGACTGGACTGTCAGCCGAAAATCTGGGTCTGAACGTGCAAATTGTGGCCGTCAGCGACTAGTCAATGTTAGGGCAGAACGGAGAGTGGCAAGACTGGTACAAGACAACAGAAGGGCAACAGTGCCGTGTCAGATTCCTCCCATCACCTTTCACCATCTCATGGAGTCACGAGGCTGCCCAACGCGGAGAGGAAACACAAGGCTCTCTTAGCTCCTAGGCCCCATTCACACGTAGCGACATACCTTTTGCAGCGGCTGGGATAGCGCGACTTTTGGGGCGACGGTAGCGCAACCTTCTCCGTCGGGCTCCATTCGAAAAAAACTAAATTGCGCAAAATCCACCGAAAAAAGGGTCCTGTAGAAGCGACTTGCGACCGCGACATGGAGCTAAGACAGCTCCATTGAATATCATTAGCCGACGACTTCTCGCGATATCGCGCGGCAAAAATGCGCGTTATCGCAGCGGAAATCACGCGATAAATCGCTACGTGTGAATGGGGCCTAATTCACAAGGGTAACGGCCGGCCTGTACAGATCCATGCGGTGTGCACGGCTCTATCGGGCATCTCCCAAGAAGGACAGGTGCTGCGTGTGATTTGTACACAGCAGCCCATAATTCTCTATGGGAGTGCGCCGCTCTATGCTCACCCGACCTGATCCAGAAAGTTTTACATGTTCTCCAATGATAGGATCTTCCTAAATGTGGGAAAATAATTCCTCAACAGCCCCAAAATTGGACGACAGATTCATTAGGCCAGCAACTACCTGATCCTCAGAGGCAGACAATTTAGTCTGCTCAGAAACATGATCCACAGCAAAGGGAAGGGCTGAGGCAGTCTGAGAAGAGCCTAGAGCAAAGGTGTTGCCTCCAGCAGCAGGAACTGGTTGTCAGAATACAGTAGTGACAGCAGGAGATTCGTCCATCCATGCTATTAAGTGTGTGGCCAGCTTAATATGCCGACTGACATTCTCCACCTAACAGTGGTCAGGATCAAGAGCCACAAAGCAGACATGAGAATCTTGGCTAATTCAGCCATTTTCATGTGTTATAACTAGGGATGCACCGATATATCGGCCGGAAATGGCACTTTTGGCATAATGCCGAAAGTGCCATTTTCTGGCCGATACAGCGGTGCATCCTATTCTCTCCTCCCTGCTGGGCGTGCTCTGTGTCCCAGCGTGGAGAAGAGAAAGTGGCTGAGCGCTGCGGGAGGAGAACGCTGTGAGCGGCCGACGTCTCTGCTCCCACACCGCTCAGCCTCCTATCACAGATTGGGAGATCGGTGAGGGGGCGGAGACAGCCAGCGCTGTCACAGGAGCGGGGAGGAGAGAAAGTGGCCAAGCGCTGCGGGAGGAGAGCGCTGTGAGCGGCCGACGTCTCTGCTCACACACCGCTCAGCCTCCTATCACAGATTGGGAGAGCGGTGAGGGGGCGGAGACAGCCAGCGCTGTCACAGGAGCGGGGAGGAGAGAAAGTGGCCAAGCGCTGCGGGAGGAGAGCGCTGTGAGCGGCCGACGTCTCTGCTCCCACACCGCTCAGCCTCCTATCACAGATTGGGAGAGTGGTGAGGGGGCGGAGACAGCCAGCGCTGTCACAGGAGGCTGAGCTCCATTCGCTCAGCCTCCATAACAGCTGTCAGGAGGGGGAGTGGGTACACTCTCTGTGGGACTCTGTGTCCTCAATCTCTTTTTCTAAATCAGGGGTCTGTTTAGATACCAAATATTTCCCCGAAGCCCCTAAAAGTAAAGTAAAAAATAAAAATATTTAATTTAAAAAAAATGAATAAATAAAAATAACAAGTTTGTAAAAAATAAAAATAAAATATTTAAAACATTTGAAAAAGTTAAAATAAAAAACATTTTCGGTATCGGTTTCGGCCTGACATTTTTGTTAATTTCAGTTTCCTTGCACCTCCAGTTAGAACTGCATTTACTCCAAGCTGTCAGATAAATGAAAATGGCTCTCACAGTTGTGACGGATGGGTGGAGCTGGAGAACTCCAGTACGTCTTTGGAGGACTGATAGAAAAGAACCTCGACCAACCCTAGAGACCGAGTCATTTTGGCCACTAAAGTGACAGGGTCTCCTGACAGCCAAGCCCCCACCCATCCAGGAAGCTTCGCCTCTTCATTGCTTAAATGGAGTGGAGCTTCTCGGGTGCTCACTCTGTGCTCTCTTAGCATGCTTCAAACCCACATTGGCTCCCTGTCTGAGTACCGTTCAGGAAATTGCAAAAGGCTGATACCAAGTTGAGTTCAGATCCTCACACTGCTTGCATTTAAAAAAAAAACACATTTATCGATGCAAAAAATGCAGATGGTGCTGCAATAATTTGTGTCTTTAACAACTACCTGGAGTCCAGCTTTAAACTATAGATTTATACAGGAAAGCCTGTTTGATGCTGTACATGAATATAACATATTTTTAACCAGTTGACATCCGCGGTGTTAAACCCCCTTCCCATCCAGGCCATTTTTCAGTATTCAGCGCTGAATTGCCACAAATCTGCAATGTTTTAGTAGAATAGGAAAGTCGTCTTCTTACCTCTTTGCTCCACTGACCCAAAATGAACAAATGCAGCTGGGAAAAGGCGTGCCTGAGGGCAAGAGGACATAGATATAAATGTCATATATATCACACATCATCATTATTGTCTCAGTCATGTATAATTACCTCTAAGCAGTAGCTTAATTTCCTTCGTCTTGAATATCCTGAAAAATAGCTGTGCAATTCCTGGTATGCGAGGCTGCCAAGGTGCTCCTGTACCTACAGCCTCATAGCTGTATATCTGAGGTGTGAGATCTAAGGCACCGCTGCCTCTAACTGTTAAAGGAGAACTATGGGGTCAGTGTTTTCCCCCATAGTTCTCCTTAGGGTAACGGATGAGTGAATTTTGGAAACGGTGGGTGGCCCGGTCTGTCGGCTCCCGTCCGACATCCTACGACTGTCAGCTGAACATCGGCCACATACAATCAGATGCAGGCACTGCTCAAGTGTCTTGACAGCTGGTGGAGCTGTCACAATACGATAGCCGCAGTGGGAGATTTCTCCATTCACGCTGTTAAGGGGTTTCACTCCCCAACCTGTCATGAAGCAGTACAGGTGCTTGGCCACCGATGCAACCAGCCATGTCACATGGGAGTGAGGAGAGTCCCGAACCCTGTCTAAATTTTAAGTCAAAACTTGGGAGCTTACACAAAGTTACTTCTCTTTGCTCCAAATAGACTGACGGGGTGGGAAAGCAAGCTGGGGAGGACAGAGATTATGTTAAAGTGCTCCTATCCCCTGCACAAGCAAACTGCAGGTTCACTTCACTTTAAAGCCTCATTAAACCATCTTGATTGTAATACAAATACAGAAATAAATATGTTGTTCTTTTTCCATTACCTACCACAGGTGTTAAAATACCCGGCATTGTCAGCACTTAGGGGAGTTGGACCTCTGCTCTCACACACAATGCAGCGGGCCAGCTCTCCAGTGGTCTGACACCTCCTTCCAGTACACTGCTCCAATCAACAGTGCTGCCGAGAGGGAGCTGCTGATCAGAGCAGTGTGCAGGGGGTGCATGGTGAAAATGCCGGAGAGCCCGTCACTGCATTGTGCGCGGGAGCCACAGTCAGACTCTCCTATGTGCATGCATTGCACTACAGTAATAAATCAAGAGGGTTCAATGGGGCTTTAGGTTTCCCAGTTCCAAATGCAGAGACCAATTATCGGAAGGTGATGAAAGCAGCCAATCATCAATTCAGAAGATTGAGAAATGACTGTTGCTGCGGGCTACTGACTTCCGCTCATTGCCTTCCAGGAACATCATGTGATGGCATAGGGGCTATTATTCTCCACGGCCTGGCTGAGGTTAATCCAGGTAAACAGTGCAAGCGAGGGACAATGTAATATGAAGAGGACACCTGTTATTTTCTAACCACTGCTAAACATCATTACAAAGCCATATTATCCCTACTCTTCAAATTGCACCGTTCCTTTCTCTCCGGATGTCCTGCTGCATAAATCTGATTGAGAGCTTTGACATTTTTTGCTCATTTAGTTAAAGTGAACCTGTCACCTAAATGCAAAATCTTTCATTAAATAAAGTAAATGTTTTGTTTATAATGAGGACTATTATTAATATATATTTTTTAATTTCTACCAAAAACCAATATTCTCCAACTGGCTTAGGGCCTTTTGCGCTTATGCATAGACAGTGATGTGCACGTTTAATGCATATAACGGCATGCATTTATGTGGTTTTTTTTCTGCTCATTCAATATACAAAGTCACAAAACAGTAATGAGCCCACTTAAGTGCACTAAAATTTGGCATGTCATATATTTAGAAAAAACAAACACTTAGCTGCACTGCATAGATGTGAACCAGCAACAAAGGAATGAATGGGATTTCTATTTGATATGCATTTTACTGCAGGAAAAAAATATGTTCAGATTAGAATTACCTCCAAAGCTGATGAGTAATGATGTGCGGGGGGCTAGGTGTGAACCCAAGTATGTTTTGCATGTACGTCAATAAATAGATGTATTCTATCTGCCGTTGGAGTGCCGGTGTCCATATTCTTTTGTATTACTGAGACGGTGGCCATCCGTCGACTACCGTTGCACCCATTTTATCCTAATGAATGAGCGGTCAATGGGTACATGGACTGTACGTGTGAACCCTGTTCACCAGATTTCACCCATGATAATGCAAAACAATCACTTGCGAACCCCCCCACCCCCATCCATACCCGACCCAATCAGTTGCCGAAGGGACATTCCATGCCCTGCAACTACATATCACAAGTGTGTGGGGAATGCCCCTGCCACAACTGAATAGAACGGGAAGGAAGGGGTGTCAATCACAGTTATGAACAGGCTTGGATGAACTCAAGTGAACTGGGTTCACACCAAGACCCCTCACATCCTTACTTATGAAGAGTGCCAACTGTAGTTGGCAGAGGCTGAGGATCTTTAGACTCCCTAAGTGAACACCAGCAATGTGTCAAGTAGCAATAACTTTAATATTTCAAATATACCAGCCAAAAAAAAAAATGAAAATTAAATGCACGCTTTCATCTTCTGCATTTGGCTGCCCCACTAACTAAATCCCTAAAGTTGCAGGCATCCTCATCAATCCCTATTCTTTGCAAGGTCCTGTATCTGTGAAAATGCAGGCCTAGTGTTCCCTGGTTCCAGCACCACACTCTCGCTATCTGAGCCCACTGTAGCCTCACAGTCATTGTACAGCCAGCCTGCTGAACCAGACTGTGAGAGACTTTTAAAAAAACCCAGATTAAGGTGGATATCCAACCCTCAGCATGGACGCATATTTCGCCGGTCAGTACTGACAATCAATGCTCCCTGAATGCTGGGGTTTAGCTGTGACTTAGTGGGGTGGGGCATGTTGAACCGCTGCAGAGAGTCTGGATCCTACACTGCAGCATAGTGCAGGACGCAGGATTTTCTGCTCTCCCTGGGGCTGCTTGACAAACAAAATGGTTTCCCTACACACTAAATTTATGCCCCTCAAAGTTCAAATGGGCCTTAAAGTAGGTGGGCACTCCCCCACCTGATACTGTCCCCATTGCTCTTTTCTCATGGAGTCTAACCCCGTTGTAAGGTCTGTGTCGCTTTGTCCCAGAGCTTACACAGGTTTAATGACCTTCTCCCCTCCCTCACATGCCAGTATCCCAGTCTGTCCTACTCAGGCCCCAGTACTGCATCATGGGAGATGGTTACCTTATCAGATACCTGATAATACCATTCATTTTTCAGGGCAGCAACAGGCAGACTGGTGGAAAAGTGTGACAAACGTGGGTATCAATGGCCCTATCAAGAGCACCTGTTGCTTTGCTCTGGATGGGCAATGTGACCGATTCCCTTTAAAGCAATTTTTTCATTCCTTCAATCAGCTGCCTCGTGACAGACTAATGCGGTTGAGGTCAAGAATAAAACGTACTCTATATCCCAATTAGCCGACATGAAGCTTCCATTTCTTCTGATGTACTATAAGCTCTACCTTTTGTAGTAACGATGCGGTGCACCCGGCCTGTAACGCAATCATTGCACTAATTACTTATGTGACGCTGCGCACCCCGTCTCAGGATGGCCCGACTGCGCTATCAGGTCAGATGAGAGCAGCACATGAAAAAAGGGACAGCGGCAGCCGCCTGGTATGGGGGCTTTTTAACATTTCCCTTCTTTTTTTTTTTCTCAATCCGTATTGTGTAAGGTTGCATGCCATAGAGAAAACAAAAGACAGCTTTCCGTAAACTTTAATTACAGCGTACCAGACATGGTCAAAACTCGGAGAGGGAACACTCGCCAGCGCTTTGATGTTTCAGCTGTAGGGATTTCACTATTTAGAGAAAAAAAAAATAAGGGACAGCTTAGACAGGGCCCCCTCGCTTCCCCTGGAAACACACTAGCCCCCTTTTAAACAGCCTTTCTTTTATGCGCTCTAGAGGCTGGAAAAATGAGGTTTGTGTAGCGTGTTAGTACTGGAATTTTTTAATAACCTCCTCTCTCCTCTTTACTCTTCCCCCCCAATTATCGTGGTGAATAATTAACATAGTGAAGGAGATAACTAAATCCAGCATCTCCCAAACTGAAAGATCTTTAGTTCAAAGCGTGTCCCTTTTTTTTTTTTCCCTTTCCTTCTTGTCCGTTCCCCCTGGTGCCGCCACTAAAAACTTCCTTGTCAGTCAATCTCTGGGCAAACACTTCAAAGCCTCGTGAGCGAAAAGGCCCGAGGGTCAGGGAGAATTCAACACAGGGAGGAACGGCCGGCCGAACATACAACCAAGCTAGTGGAACACAAAGGCGGCGGAATACTGCGACACTGAGCCAGAGACACAGAGAATAAAGAGAGAAGGAGGAGGGGGGGGGGGAGGAAGAAGTAGAAAGATAAAAAATAGTCAAACAACAGAAAGTAATACAGGAAACAGAATTAAAAATAAAAGTTAAAAGTATACTCTAGTCAAAATTGAAAGCTAAGCCTTCAGATGCGTGCAAAATATAAGTACCTGCTAGGTAATAGTGTTTTGTTTTCATTTAAGTGGGGCCATATTGCAGCAGTCCCTGCTGGTGGTCTTGCAATCCTTTCAACTTACCCCCTTTGTAATGCACAAGATATATTTAAAGGACCAAAAACATCCCCTTCATCTGGGCTTAAAGTGACATTAAACCCTCAGATTTTTTAACATAAACCAATACTGTAATGTGCGCCTTACTGTAATCCATGGTAGTTTCCCTTCTCTTTGCTGCTCTTCCTTTTAAATCTGTATCTGTTCTCATGCTGGGCAGAACTTCTGTTTTGCAGCAGACTGCCTTGTCTCTGAAATGGATACACGGTGTCTGTGTGTAGGTTTGCAACCTGAGCCAGCGCTACAGGAAGAGGCACTGAGCTGCAAAGGGAAGTTCTCCCCAAGCATAAGAAGAGATACAGATTTAAAAGGAAGAGCAGCAAAGAGAAGGGAAACTACCATGGATTACAGTAAGGCACACATTACAGTATTAGTTTATGTTAAAAAATCTGAGGGTTTAATGTCACTTTAAAGAAGGCAAGTCTATGGAAGATTAGCAGTTCATTGAACGGTCTCCCTTG